CGCCTCGGCTTCCTAAGCCTCCTGACCACCCTCAAGTACTGCTACGAGATGGGCATACAATACGTATCCTTCTACGGCTTCAGTATCGACAACTTCAAACGCCGGCCCACCGAAGTCCAAATCCTCATGGGCCTCATCCGCGACAAAGCCGAGGCGATGAGCCACAATAGTGGCATCGTCGACGAGCTCGGCGTCCGTGTCGAGTTCCTAGGTATTAGAAGGTCTTCTGACATGTTACCACTTGTTTCCGTGTCTTTTTTTTATTATTGTTTTTCCTTACCTTTTATTGCTGACATGTTACCACTTGTTTCCGTGTCTTTTTTTTATTATTGTTTTTCCTTACCTTTTATTGCTGACATGTTACCACTTGTTTCCGTGTCTTTTTTTTATTATTGTTTTTCCTTACCTTTTATTGCTGACATGTTACCACTTGTTTCCGTGTCTTTTATTATTGTCTTTTTTTACTATTCTGTCATAATCGATTTGATTGTTCGTTTAATATTAAAAATTTTGTTTTTAGTATTCGATTCATAAATGAATAAAATTTAACCATAGATATATTTAATTTGTTTGTTTAATAAACTATTAGATAAAATTTTGTTTACTAATAACTTGTATTAATTAAGCATGTGATGTTATGTTCTTGGCCCACCTAAATTTTTTAATTTGGTTGCCTACTAATTTTGAGAGGCTTAACAAGCCCAAATCCATTGTTTTGACCAAATTTTCACATTACAGATTTAGGTATCATAGATATGAAGGAATGAATTTCAATTATAAATTTAAATGTTATCTAAAATATCAAATTCTTAGAACAATGAAAATACTGCTTTAATCAAATAAAAGCATCTACCTACTTAAGTTAATATTCATAAAACATAAATTATTAATCAAATAAATATACGTAAATATTTGATAAGCATTCGTGAATATTCAGCAAATATCGGTATTCGAATTCGAATTCGAAGAAAATCAGAGAATGATATTCGAATTCATATTCGAATCCAAAAACGTTAAACGAATGCAACTACAAATGTCTCAGTATCCGATACATATTCGGGTAATTCAATTCCAGCCCTACTCGATCATTCGTAAAACTTCTTGTTCTTGGATTTGTTTTTGCCTCTACTACTTTTTCATATGATCAGGTTCATTTCAATCTCACTTGCATGCTGATATGAATGAGGTACGCGAGCAGTAGATTGTTGTCTTTAATTTCCGGACAAGATCGATGAGCTTTACTAACCTCTACCCTTGTTAAGCTTGAAAGGGAACATTATAGTTTTCCTTTTATTGATATTCCATAACCCGTATATACAATGTGAGGTGTATTCATGTTGTTCATAACCAATTAACGAACTCTTTTCTCTTTCTTTTATTTCAACACTAGGGAAGTTGGACACGCTGGATGAGCCAACAAGGGAAGCGATACAGGGAGTCATGGATGCAACGGCGAAGAATACAAAGATGGTGCTGTTGATTTGTTTGGCGTATACTTCGACAGATGAGATCGTTCACGGAGTTAAGGGGGCGGTGACTGAGAAAATTGATGGCGATGCATCGATATCGGTGGAGGATTTGGAGAAGAACATGTATTACGCAGGGTGTCCGGATCCGGATATTTTGGTGAGGACTTCAGGAGAGACTCGGCTGAGCAATTTCCTTTTATGGCAGACGACGCATTGTTTGTTGTATTGCCCGCGGTGTCTTTGGCCGGAGATATCGTTGAGGCATTTGGTTTGGGGTGTTGTGCAGTATCAGAGGAATTACCAGTACTTGGAGAAGATTAAGAAGAAAATGTGAAAGCTAGCTCAACTGTGTACCGTGGCATATGTGGAATTTAACAACTAGTCCATGATGTAGTAGTGTAACAGAGAACAAAAGTATATATGTGAGGGAAAAAAAAAACTCTTTTATGAAATTAATGCAAGTTCTTATAAGATAAGATTCGGCACCAGGGAGACTCGAAGCATGATTCTGATCAGGAACGGATTCAGAAATTTATTTCATGGGAGTACGTATGCAATTTTACTAATAAATTAATAAATTGTATACTATGGCCATGTTTGGATTGGGGACTTATTTTATCTTAGGATTAATTTAATTCGTTATATATAGTCCATAGTGAGTTTCTTTTTTCAAGTTGCCAATTTGGGTTTCTAAATCCATTGATAAAATCAGAAGAAATTTCCTTTGGAATGGTAGCCACAGCCTCTCAAGACCAAAATGCCTAGTTAACTGGGGAACAGTATGCAAATCCAAAGTGGAAGGAGGACTTGGGGTAATTGATATCCCCACCTTTAACTCTGCCCTCCTCTCCAAATGGATTTGGAAAATTTCTGACAGATCATCCTTAATTAGTGAAGTTTTCTTCTCCATATATTCCAAACATGGAGCTAACCCTTTTGCCAATCAGCCGAAGATATCACACTCAAGACTTTTCCAGGATCTGCTTGCATCTCATCACATTTTCTTTAGCTTGGTCAGATGGAAAGTGGGGAATGGTGCCTCGATTAGATTCTGGCATGACAAATGGGCATCTGCTAACTCTCTTAGCAGTCTATTCCCCTATGCTCACAATCTTGCCTTCTCGAGCAACTGCAGCCTTGACAAGCAAGGAAGATGGGCCAATGGATCATGGGTCTGGCACCCAATTATCCGTAGGGGATCCTCCCCCAGAGAGAGAGCAGATGTTTCCGATCTTCAAGCATTCCTTGAGCACCATTTTCCTGGTGGCTCATCAGAGCAGGATGCTATTTGGTGGCCTCTTCATTCTTCGGGAGTCTATACAGTTAAATCCTTTTATTCGTTCATTTCTTCAGGGGGGCTAAAATCCCAGTTCTCAAATTTGATCTGGAAATCCAGCATCCCTCTCAAGGTAAAAATTCTCCTCTGGATCATTTCGAAAAGGAAACTCAACACCAAAGACAACTTGAGCAAAAAAGGTTGGAACGGAGACATTAGATGTCCTTTTTGTCTCAAGGAGACAGAGTCTCATGATCATATTTTTATCCACTGTTCCTTCGCCCGTAAAGTTTGGAAACTCCTTCTTCCTCTTTTCCCAGCTAACCGTTGGCCCTCAAACATGGAGGAACTGCTGCTGCTCTACAAAGTTCCCAACACTTGCTCGAATGTTAAAACTTTTTGGAAGATCCTGTTGCCATGTTTCTGTTGGTGGATATGGTTCACTAGAAACTCTCTAATTTTTAAAGATGATATTCCCAACTCGTTATCTGTCGCAACTAATATCGCGAGATACTCAATTTTCTGGACAGGTGATGGTGATGATAGGACGGCTAGGAGGCTGCGAAGGGCAGCCCTCAATCTCGGTCTCCAGGAAATGGCGAAGAAGCCTCCTTCAGGGGTCGCGGGAGATAATCCTTCTAGCAGTTAGAAGCCTAGTTCCCAGCGGCATAAGGAAGAGTTTTTGTCACTTAGGTTCTCTCGTTTTTCATCTTTTTCTTTTTTTTGGTGGTAGCTAGCTGTGCCTAGCCTCTTCAGTCTGTTATCAGCAATGTTGCTGTCCCTAATATATCTAAAATGAACAGGGTACCTCACCCTGTTTCTCAGTTTCAAAAAAGATCATGGGCCTAGTCTCCCAGCAAAAGAATGGAGAGACTCAAGGATTTTCTTCAAATACTCTCTAGTTTCATCATGAATCAAATTCCCATCACTATCAAACTTCTTTGGGGGCTTGTGTGCAAAAATGTATAACTCTGGCTTGTTGATGAAGTGAATATTCAAGAAAACCCCAACTTGGCGCAGATGAAATTGGACTCTTGATCCCCCCGAGCCTCCCGCAGCACTAACAATGGCTGCAGCCTTGTCTGCCCACACGTTTGGTGGTCTTGAGCCCCAGTCCAGTGCATTCTTCAACGGAGCTATAAATGAAAGGAGGGAGAAAAAGACTTGCAGCAAAAATAATGCTTTATGGCTTTTTTTTTAACTTTTATGCGAGATGTGCATGATGTTGTACACAAAATTAGAAGGGTTGCTTTCACAAAGCCTCGGGTTTCTTTACATAACCCCCTGAACTTTGTTTCTGTCGCATAACACCCCTTTAACTCCGTACCATCTCACAAAACCCCCTATGGAATTTTATCATATTTCATTGGCCCCCCTACATGTAATTTGCAAATAGCTAAAAATTTCTTGACAGAAAAAAAACTCAAATTTCAGGGACGGTTTCCATAAATGAAAAGAAGAAATTTGATTCCCCAGAAGCACCACCCTCGACACCCGAAGCACCTTCTTTCCCCGACATCTTACGCACCAACGAACAAAGAATATATCCAAAACTAAAAGATAGAGTCTTTACCAAAAGATCACACCTTTATCACCAAACGAAGCCCTAGACGAGCCTCCAAATTGATCTACTCCTCCAAATAGCCCAAGCGTAGCCCGCGCTCTGATACCACTTGTTGTGCGCAGCGGAAATTTCGGCAGAGTTTCTGATGCACAATAAGAGAGAAAGATCGATAAGAATTCTTATTTCTCAAAGGGAACAAGAATCTTAAGCCTAATATCCCATCAAAGTGGGATATTAGCTCTTCCTCTCGTCAGCTTTAAGACTGCGCGTCGAGGGATCCTAAAAAACTATTACAATGGCCACAAACTCAAACAATCAATTTTTACGTGATTCGGCAAACTGCCTACGTCCACGGGGCAAGGAGGGGGGAGATCTACTATTAGAGGGAGAGATACAACTAGGGTTTACAATCACTCAATCTAAAACCCTCACACAATTATCTCTCAAAGGGGATGCACAAACTCTAAACAAAAAAAAAGCCTCTGCCTTTTCTTTTGCACAGCCACACGAAGAAAGCCGCCAACCAATTCCTTGCACTGCCTTTTCTACAGCCGCCAAACTTCTGTGCACCTGCAGCCTTGCTCCCACCCCTCAAATTTGCACCGTACTTGCTCCTTGCACAGCCGCACAAATTTCCTCCTCTCCTGGTACTTGCCCAAAACCCTAAGCATCGAATAGCTATCTATATATATCTATCAATTGGGTCAATCGGGTGGGCCAGCACAATTGTCCGCTGAACAGTTCATAAAAAACAACACACAACAAAGTAACCCACGTGAAACAAAGCAACCCACAACGTGGGTTGGTCCCACTCACAAAATTAACTGAAATTATAACCCTCATTGGCTCATTCTGTCGCAGTGTCGCCATAACTTGAGGGTTTCAGCACAGAGGAAGGAATCTTTTAGCATGCCATCATAAAGGCGAAAGTTCAAATTCACACACCATGAATTCTAAAAAAATAAAATAAACGATACTATTGTCTGAATTCGAGTTACAGTGGCAAGTTGAGACCTGTAATTGAAAAGGTTAATTAACTAAATTTCACAATATAGCCTCAATAGGTTTTGGGTGTTTTGACACTTAATGCCTAATTTTGAAACTCTCACTAAACCGCTGATAAATACAAAAATATTAGAAAACTACCAAAATGTTTTGTTTCCCCGACTTAACTTCCATATATCAGCATAAATCCATGTTGCGGATATCAAGCAAACAACATCATAAATTAGAGAGAGGACGGTACGTGTAAAATATACAACTGACTAATTAAATTTGGCAATTCTTGAACACTAAAATACCTGGAATGGAGTAGTTGTACTCGGGAGAAGCAAACAGAAAACAATCAGCTTCAAGAATCTTTCGCCGGAACTCCTCCACAGCCTCCGGAAACTCTGAGCCGTTCTCAAGATCAGGATTGATAAACGGAAGCCCCGAGATGTCGACGAACTCAACCTCCATTCCCCTTATTGACTCGTTGCATATCTCAATAGCTGTGCTCAACAAATTCACCCATCAAATAACTGAGATTGTAATTAGCTAGCTTTAGAAGCGAGTTACTTACCAGAGAGGATGAGTCCTCTGTTGAATGAAGCCTTGCGCAGTGAGCCACAGACTGCTGCAACTTTGATGACTGGTTTTGCTTCCATAATTTCTCTATGTATATATGTTTCTTATTTATTTTACTTTTCTCTGTATTTTATTTGGTTATGAGCTTTTCAACAGGTGTTGGTGTTGAAAGTTGGAGGTTTGTGCGAGAGACGGGTCGAAGCATCTCAATGGGCAATTGGTTTGATGAAAAGGCAAAGGGAAGTTTTACATGATAATGACCTGTTGACCATTTTTCTGCAAGAATCTGTGGAAGTCTACTTTGACAAAAGTCTGAAGCCAAGGGATTAAGGCAAAAAATAATAATAATAAGCAGGTTAACATATTTAGAGAAGTGATGGATTTCATAGGTAATCCGTGAGGTAAGCTTAGTAGTTTGACAAAAAATTATGGAAGCGAAATTAAGGTTAATGATCTAGTTAGTTCATTTGTTCATTTGTTATTCCAAAGGATTAAACTGGTTAATCGTCAGGTAAGTTTTGTTTTAGTTCTGGTGACTATTTTTAGTGTTTAGAAAAAGTGAGGATTATGATTATTTTTTTTATAAATAAATATCGTTTTCTTAACCCCCGTCTATGAGTGCACTGTAGAAGTGACGAACACGACGAAGAACAGCTTAGGAAACAAACAGGAAACTATTAGGTAGCTTGACGGTCGACCGCGAGATCAGCTGCGGTCGACCGAAAAATGTGCACACTGTAGGGTTCATTTTCGGATTTCTGTCCGGTCGACCGCGGCTTCAAGTGTGGTCGACCATAGACCCTGTAATCGATTTTTCCAGTTTCTGTCATTCTGTCCGGTCAACCGCGGAGTCAAGTACGGTCGACCGTGGAGTCAAGTACGGTCGACCGCGACTCGGGTCTAGGACTGGGCTTTTGTTTTCTAACCCATTTCGCTTTGTGTTGATGTATAACCCTAAACCTGATTAATTAGGGTTAAGCAAGGACGATTTGAGCAGACTCTTAAGAGAGTATTGTGCATCCTTTTGTGGGAGAATTGTGAGAGGTTTAGAAAGCTTTGTATTAGGATTTTGAGTGATTTAATTTGTAACCCTATTTGTATTTCTCTTCATCTCTAATAGTAAGAACTCCCCCCTTCCTGACCCCGTGGACATAGGCAACTTGCCGAACCACGTAAATTCGTTGTCTTGCTGTGATTTGTGATTTGTGCTTGTAATTGGTTATGATCTTTCTCATTGTCTTGTCGTACACTATTTGGCTTTCGAGCTCTGCTACGCACAACATGCACATTAATTAATTCCTTGATTTGAGTTAGCTAATTCATTTTAACTAGTTTATGCGGGTTATCTTAACTCGTCTTCTAATTTTTGTCTTTGAAAAATTAGGATAGATTTGTTGGATAGCAGTATTCCTAATCTATTTTGGTAACATGAGGTTATTAGTATTCCTAATCTATTTTGGTAACATGAGGTTATTAGGATTCCTAATTTGTTTTGTTTTTAGTTTTAGGATTCCTAGTCTGTTTTGGTTTTAGTTTTTCTATATATATGGAGATTAGAATCAATCATAAAAAGATATTAGAGTTGTAATCAGAGATTAGAGAGACTTTTAAGCATTGTGAGAGGAGATATTGTGAGCAAGTTGAGAGCTTTGGTTGAGGGTTAGTTTGTGAGTTTTGTGAGATTGTAACCATTTGTACGCTCCTTGATTTAGTGGAATCTCCCCATCCTTTTCCCGTGGACGTAGGCAATTTACCGAACCATGTAAAATTGGTTGTCTCGCTATTTATGTGATTTGTAATAGTTTATTTAGGTTCCCTCGATAGGTCAGTCCTAGAACTGATGAGAGGAAGAGCTGATATCTCACTTGGTTGAGATATTTTGCTTAAAGTTCTTATTTTCTTGGTGAAACAGGAATTCCTATTGTGACCTGACTCTCTTGTTGTGCTGCCGAAGTGCTGCCAAAATTTTCGCTGTACGCAACAAGTGGTATCAGAGCCCAGATTTTAGATTTAAGGTTTTGGACTTAGGTAGAGGAATATTCTTGTGTGAAGCTTGGTTCTTGGAGTTCTAGGCTTCGGTGGAGATAGCATTAGGAGTTGCTGTTGGAGATTTTACTTTTCTTGTGTGGACAGGAGATCTATTTGGAATCCGATCTAGGGTTCAGTTGGGTAATTCTTAATTTCTATTAAAGTTTGATTTTTTTTCTACAAATTAGAGTTAGTTTGCAATGGGAGAAGAAGGTGAAAGCAGCAAGTCGATAGTGAGTACGGTCCAAGTTGGTTTTCAGAATACCAAAATTAGTGTGGTGAAGTATACCGGTAAAATCAACTTTGGTTTATGAATGAGCAACGTACAGGATGCGCTCAATGCTCAGAACTTGGAGGAGACCATCATGGTCCACGAGAGACCACCAAAATATGAATAGGCGATATGGGAAAAGATGAATAGGAATGCTTGTGGGGTGATCAGATCCTGTTTGGAACAAGAATTAAAGTATGATGTAATTAGGGTGACGTCTGCAATGAAGATATGGGAAATTCTCAACAATAAGTACCTTACGAAGAGTGTTGAGAACATTTGTATTTGCTGTAATGATTGTTCAGATTTCAGATGTCCCGAGGCACCTCACTAGCGGCTCATGTGAATAACTATACTAAGTTGTTGTCGAACTTGGTGAATGTTGATGAGAAGATGTCTGATGAGTACAAGACTATTATCTTATTGGGCTCCTTACCGGATGAGGAGTACAACACCTTTGTGCTCACTTTGTTGAATGGGAGATCTTCTATCAGCTATAGTGAAGTTACTAATACATTAACGAATTATGATTTGAGGAGGAAGGACAAGGAGACTTCCCGTACTAGTTCTTCAGGCGAGGTCTTGTCGATGAGAGGTAGAAGCCCATATCCGAAAGGTGGTAATAGAGGAAAGTCAAAGTCAAGAGGTCGTCATCAGCTAGGAAAGAACCAATGTGCATTCTGCAAGGAGCAGGGACATTAGAAAAGAGATTGTCCAAAGATGTAATGACCGTGAATTTTAATACTAGTTAAAATAATTTTCTAGTATTTTAAAATATTTAATTATTATTTATAAACGAGTATTTGTATTTTTCTTGATTTTTTTTACAATTTTTTATGATTTAAAAATCTGATTATATATTTATTTAAATGATTTTGATATTTATAAATTTATTTTGTACGGTAAAAATTTCTGGAATTAATTTGCTGTATTATCAGTACTGTTTCGTATTATTTTAAATAATATATTGTATTATTAATATTATTATAAATTATTTCATATAATACATGGTATTATTAATTACGTGTTTTTGGTATAATTTATTGTATTATTTCTATTGTTACACATTATCTATCGTATTAGTATAACTAGTACGTTTTACTGTGTACGTAATTGTCCCATAATTATTTAATTTTAAATTTAAGTAGAAATTTTTTATTATTAATTATTCTTGTTTAATTATATAATATGTGTATATTTCGACTATTTCGTATTAACTATTGTAATAGTTCAACATGTACGTTTTTGTTTGTAGATAATTATTCTGTAATTATTTCAATTTTTAAATACCCATAACTATTTAATTAATTATATTTTGTTTAAATACCTAACTAAAACCCTAATTACCTATATATATATGTACATATATATATACCATCTCCTGTTCACACATTCACGCCGCTACCCTCTCTCTCATTCTTTCTCTCTCGTTCACGACACCAACAACCCAAAACCGCCCGCCACGCCCACGTTCCCCTCTCCACCCACGTCGGCACCGTTCGCCGCGACGACGACCGCCGCCTGCCGCCTGACCTCACCTCGCGACCACCACCTCCGCCTTCACCACGAACTCCACCACCTCCTCCCAACTCCGACCAGCCTCGACGTCGACAACCCTACCCAGACCCGCACCCGAAACCGCCAGCCCCTGCTCCTCCACCATCATCGTCTCCACCTCCCCACGCACTGCCTCCCGCCAAACCCCGACCTAGGCCGTCACCCTTCCCGCTCGAGCCGCCCAACGCCAGCGCCCCGCCGCCTCCGATCTCGCACCGCCCAGCCTCCCCCGCGGCCACCATCTCCGACCCTCACTGCCCAGATCCGCTCCGATGAGCTCCACGCCCGCCACCGGCCGCCGCCTTGGCTGTCGACGGCCACGCTCAGCTCCGTCGACGACCAGCAGTCCCCGTCAGCCTCGCCGTACCGCGATCAACCCCCGCTGAGATCCAGGACTGCCGCCGCCTTCAGGCCGTCGCCGGACAGTCCGCCGACCCCGCTGCTCGTGCTCAGATCAGATCCGCGGATCCGTAGTCTCGCGCCGTCAACGTTGAACCGTTCGACGAAGCAAGATCCCGATCCTTATGTAGTTTCGTTCCAATCATTATATTTGTCATAGATTATTTATGTGCAAGATCCCGTTACTCAGCTTGTCGATCTTTATGTTTTCAAATCTATTATGAGTTGTCTGTGTAGATTAGTTTGTAATATAATTACCTATGTGGATTGTTTGATGAAGAATATTAAAATATATTATAGTAATATAATAAATAGCATTTTCAAAATAATTATAAAGAATTAAAAGAATTTAGTTCGGTAAAAGAATCATTTTTAGATAATTATAAGGATTTAAAGAAATTTATTTTGAAAAAGAAGTTATTTTTAGATTAGTTATAATGAGAAAAGAATTTTACTAAGAATTTTATTCTGTAAAAATGGATTATTTGAGTTGTTATTATAATAATTGATTCTTAAAAGAATTTATTTTGTGAAAGGATTATTTGAGTTAATATTCATTATTTAAAAAGATTATTGTAGAATAATTATGATGAGAAATAAGTGTTAAGAAATTATTTTGGAAAAGGAATTATTTTCTGAATTACATAGTTGTTGTTTATGATCACATTTCACGTTTTGTATTTATTTAATGTATTTGACATGTTTGCTATAGTGCTATGTATTGTCCATCTTGTGATTGAGAACCATTAGCAGTTCATGACTTAGTGGCCTCGTGCGTCATGAACAGACTTAGTGACATGTGTGAGTGTGTTGACTGAGTTTAGGTGGTGAACCCGAGTTTTAATATGGATTATGTTTGACTTAGAAAATACAAGAGAGTTGGGATGGGGAAGTCCATGTTCATGTGATCGGATAAGACTGTTGATGTATCTTCCAGGCTCGCGCCAGTGAATTCGTGTAGTCACTGGGGTTGGTTTGTTGGGCTAAAGTGAATTC